CCCTGACCGAGCTCGGCGAGCTCTGCGCCGCACTCCATTTCCTAGGCCTCTCCCCGGTAGACCGTGCTGCATTCCGTGCCATCTTTACATTGGCTTTCTTTGCTATGCTTCGCCCGGGCGAGGTCGTGCGCGGCCGAGACCTGACCCACACAGTCCGACTCAGCCACGTGAGTCTCGTCGGCCCCCAGCTTTCTCTCACCATTCCATCCTCAAAAACGTCGGCCTCCCCGTTCACCACCACGCTTCGAGCCCGGCCTGATCTTGCCACGTGTCCGGTCGCCGCTGTCCGCGACTACCTCGCGGTCCGCGGCACGGGCCTTCCTGATGACGCACTGTTTATCGGCGGCCATCGCCGCCCTCTGACATCGCGCGATCTCACTCGCGTACTTCGCATGGCGGGCCGTCGAGCTGGTCTCAACCCAGCCCGCCTCTCCGGGCACTGCCTTCGCATCAGCGGCGCCTCCCACGGCGCCGCAGTCGGACTAACGGAGCCTCAACTCTGCCACGCCGGCCGCTGGTCGTCCCAGGCCGTGCGGCGATACGTACGGCGGCCGGTCTCCCTCCTTCAGGCATCCTAAGCGGCGGGTCCCGTCCAAAGAGGGTTAACGTTGCCGGCCTTCCACCGCTACCGCTCCCAAACCCGAGCCACAGCTGCCCGTTCTAGGTCTGGGTGCACGGGCCGCGCCCTAGCAGGCGTAGCGGCAGTCCCGACGCTGCCTGTTCAGGCCCGGGCTCCCAAACCGCCGCCCTCGCAGGCGGAGCGGCGGCGTCCTTGGCCACCTGCCTGTTTTCGGTCCGGGATCCCGGACCGCCGCCTTCACGGGCGAGCGGCAGTCTTGTCAGCTGCCTGTTTTAGGTCCGGGCCCCCGGACCCCCGCCTCACGGGCGGAGCGGTAGTCTGTCAGCTGCCTGTTTCAGGTCCGGGCTCTGGGACCGCCGCCCTCGCCGGCGGAGCGGCAGTCCCAACTCCCGACGGCTGCGCGCCACAGTGATGTATCTGTATATATGTAACGTCGGGCTCGCGTGTTCATTGTTGGTTTAGCTCGCCCGCACAGCCATAACCCAGATGCAACTGCAGTTTCTACGCCACAGCCGCACCGCCGACGGTGCCATGTTTGTGCGTCGCGTGAGGTGAATTACGCCGTGCGCGGCATGTCATGTCCTCTGCCGTCGCGTTATCGCCACGTCTGTTAATCCAGAGGCATCCATCGTTTTCCATTAGCTTTCTGCCGCCCTGGCAATTTTGTTCATAGCGAATGCCTCTCCGTTCCGCGCGGGTGCAGATGGGGTGTTGGGCGTAATCTGCACCCAAAGTGCATGACGGGTGTACAAACGTACGAATACACAGACCCATATTCATCAGTCATGCATTTGCAAGCGCAGCGGAACGGAGAAATGCATTTGACGAGCGACACCTACGGGGTCGTGCGGCAAAAACTTTCTCTGTCCGCGGGCGCCACTGCAGCGACACCTGCCGTGTGGCTCCAACACTATTGGCTCAGTCTGTGCGCCCACGCCGTGCCGCGAACACTGATCCTACACATTGTTCAGCGTTCTTGTCTTTCCGATTGTCCACCGCCACCCCGCCGCCGCCTGTGGTACTGTGTTTCCATGCATTGCTGGCTCTGTAAGCGTAATCTGCACCCAAAGTGCATGACGGGTGTACAAACGTACGAATACACAGACCCATATTCATCAGTCATGCATTTGCAAGCGCAGCGGAACGGAGAAAGTCCGTTGTCTGCAGGACGCTAGCAGCATTGCCCCTAACGATGGCAAGGGCCAGTCGCTGCCACAGCCAAGCTGTCTCTCGATGATCCCCTGATATGGAGGCCATCCTTGCCCCGAGCTCTCGAATGAATATCTTTGTGGAAGGTCCGCACACTCCTGTTGTTTCAAAGGCAAGCGGTTCGAAGTGGAAGCGCTGTGCAAGGCCACTGTATTTCTTGCGCTTTCTGTCCTCTGCTTCACGGGCCGCTGATCCGGGGGAAACAGCTGCTGATAGAACGTGGCTCTCAGCAAACGTGTTCACGCAAGTAGCGTCCCAAGCTAGACACATGCCCCTGGCGAATGGAAAGACTGTTATGCCGTCTGGGCGTTTGCTGTCTCCGCGGTCTACACCTGTTGGCTCCAAGAGAGAGGGGATTCTTGCCGACAACAATGCCCGCCTGATAATGTCGTTCAGCGCGGTATGTCTTGGATGTCTCCCAGCGCTGAACTTACAGGTGAGTGCGTGATAGCCGTTGCTGTCAGCCATTGAACCGCACCTACAGCGATGTGGGCGGCACACTTCGGCTCCCAGACGAAGGGCGATAGCGACTCGCAGGGTTTCCGGATCCAAAAGCGTGCCGATGGTTGCTGCAGGTACAGCATGCAGCCATACTCCGCTTTCTGGGGCACAGGCACTCAGGAGCCTGGCGCGAAAAAACTGGTTGGATTGTGAAAGCAGCGACTGTTGTTGTTTCTTGGCAAGCACTGTATCCCAGGTCTTTTGTTTTCGCGCTTCTTCTCCTTCGGGAGCACGCTCGCCCTCGGCTGCGTCTTCCCAGTCGGCAACAGCTTTTTCGCGCTCAGCTGTGACGCTTGAGGTCATTACAGAAGGCAGACAGGAAGATATGACCTGAAGGCACAAGTGGAGCGAAGCAACGTAGCTCGGTAGAGCGACGTCCACCAGCCGCCGGAGCCCGAGACCGCCGTACCTGGTTGGGAGAACGGCCTGCTGCCAGCTGGTTCCTGTCAGCCTGACGTTGCTGATACTGATCAGCGCTGATTGCAGGACTGCGTCCAGATTCTCAAGGAGCAAGGCTTGCCGATAGAGAGGGGCGGCTCGCAGAAGATACTGCAGTTTGGGAAGCCATAGGCAGTTGCGAAGGAGATAGATGGATGTGTGCGCGTCTAGGTGACGTAAACGCTCAATCATGTGACTGAGTTCTCCCTGCTTTTCTGTCATGACCGCCTCGGTGGCAGCTTCGCTGATAGGCGCCCCGAGGATTGTCTGCCCTTGTTCGCCGGTCACAGCTGCTCCTGGGATAAGCTGACGTAGGCTTGAGACAGAAACCTTCCTCCGCTCGTCTGTGATGTCGGCTGGTAAAATGATCTCACATTTGCTGGAATTAATTGTGAGACCAACATTGGCCATAGCTGGAATCAGCTCATTCAAGTCCGAGCAGATGGCACTGACGCTACCGCCAATGGTTCCATCGTCCAGGTACCAGCAGTTGAACGGCGCTTTCACTGTCTTGACAACTTCATCGATGGCGAGTGAAAACACGGCTGGCCCGCACGGGTCACCTTGTTGGAGTCCAGTGGCAGAGGTGATGATGGCTGTCCCGTAGAACAGAGGTGTAGGTTCTCTGTATGCCTGCCATAGAAGGTGGTACATAGTTGGTGCGTGCTCTCGAACTTGACGAAGAAAAAGGTCCCTTCGAACGCTGTTAAAGGCGTTACGCATGTCTAGCTTGATGATGGCACAATCCTCTTTAAGACTGTCATTGAAAAGGCGCGTTGAATGCACCGCAGCCTCACATCCACCTGTGGTTCCGTAGCCGAGCTGTGCTGGTCGCAGGTAAGCGCCCAACTCGGCACCGAGTGGTTTCAGAGCCAGTTTGGTAGCCAATCGTCGGTAAGTGTTTCCGACAGCGATCGGTCTTACACCGCCATCTGGTTTGCGCAGAGCTGTTAGCGCTCCTCCGAAGAAGGCAGAGCGTGCGAATGTTGCAACGCCGCCTGTGAGGACCAGGCTCATGAAGGCCGTGAGAGCAGCAATGAGTCGGGTGCCGGCCTCTCCGGCGGCCCGACTTGTCATATCTTTGAGGTGAGCAGGACGCAGGCCGTCTAGACCTGCGCTGGACCCGTTGTCAAATGAGGCGATGGATGCTTCAACCTCGGCCTTGGTGACCTGGTAGGGCTGTGTTGCATCATCGGGGCCAGGTGGCCATGCCAGATCGTCTGGAGCGGACGGATGTTTGAGCCGCAAGCTGTCGATGATGTCCTGCGAGTTCTGGGCGATTTCGTCCTTGGATGCCAGTAGTCGAATAGCCCCTCGCACGTCTCCGTCTTCTAATTTCGCGGCCACGCTTCGCTGTAAATGCTCGCTTTTCTCAGCTTTGGAGCGGTTCCTGCCGTGCGATGGCTTTAGAGAGCTTGCGCGATTTGTTCGGTGGGCGTCATGTTCAGTGGAAGCTGAATCTATGTAACTGCTCAGCTGTCGTCTTATTCTGGAGGTGAGTGATGGGCTGCTGGGGAGGTCTTCTTGATGCTCAGGCGAATGAAGCGCAAGATATGGAAACAGAAGCAGTCGCTCCCAAGCCGTGTTTGTGTTCTGTTTAACCACGGCTTCAAGAAGAGAGGTGCATGCTTGGGCTGCGGTTATCCTGGCACCTTAAGGAATTCGTCTAATGACTCGGCGAGTCTGTCTGAGTTGGGCTAGATGGAGAGCCAGTTCGTTGCTATCTGGTGACTGGTCAGCTGTTGGGGTGACTGAGGTGGTATGACACTTCGCCTCGCTAGCAGTAGCAGGTGTCGTCCCACTGATCCCGGTACACCTCGGGCACCACCAACACGACAGTGCGTCGGCCTCCCTCCGTTTCAGGCGCGCACACGTCAGGTGCCAGGCCTGGCCACAGGAACTGCATAGGATGTGCCGCTTTCTCCTGTTAGCAATACTGCAGAGTTGGCATGTTACGTCTTGAGACTGCTCAGTTGTATCATCGAGCGTGCCGTCCATGTCGGTTAAAAAAAAGTCTTGTGGGCACACCAACTATTTTGACTGCATTGTGAAACACAGATTCTGGTTTAATGTAAAGGAAGAATGTGTTCCTTTGATCATTGTTATTTTAGTCATTCTTCCTTTTTTCTTATGTTAGTACGTCCCGAGAAGAATCCCCATAATGTTTTCTTCATAAATGGAGTTTGGCAGCAGCAATAAGAAATACTTCAACTGAGAGAGTTTGGCTCAAAACGTCACGTTTTATGAGAGAAAAAAAGTGATGGCAGATTTTGCAGTTTATGTCCGGCACGGAGACAAAATAGATGCAAAATATGTTTTCCTGAAAAACGTACCTTAAAATAGAAGTGCACTTATCTTGAAAACACTTCACTTGCCTTGCATGAAAACATGCTCTAAATGACCAGCGAAGATTACTCGATGTAAAGTGCCAAGAGGTAATGCGATACAATGACAAAAAAATGATTTCTGGACGATCGAAACGGGAGCCTCTGGTGAGTCAACCGTTCGGCTCTGCGCAGGCGCAGAGCAGAGCAGGTGTAAAATTGATCAATGCGAAGGTACTGAAAGTTTCGTCGCGATCGGCCGCTTTTTACGCGAGTTATTCGCGGAAAACCTTAGGGGGGGTTACATCACCCCCCCCCCCCATGTGCCGGCGAGGGTTAAAGGTTTGATTCTTTGTTTCGCCGTTAGAGGGGTGGGGCATCTTTTCCACCCTGGGCATCTTACCCCACTCTCCCCTACATAATATATGAAAAACCCAATCAGTTTATACCTTTCTTGCTCCTTTAGTTGACCGTTCGATAGTAGCGGATTTCTGATTCAGATCGTGCTAATGCATTCTTACCCGGAAAATGGTTTTGTCTTGGTACAGATGAACACCGGCCGCGGGAATGATCAGCTCTGGCTTCTCCACCTTTTGGACGAACAGGGCGAACAGGTTGGGCAGCCACAGCTTCGAAATGGCGTCCGTGTCCATTTGCACGTACGGCTTCGTCATGTCTGAAACCAGACACAGAAACTACTTCAGTATAGTGGATCAGTCGTCCTGAATAGGTATAGATCATGCTATGTAACAAACAATGCTGAGTTATTGCTGTGTACATTGATCATGTACTTAACTTCACTGACTGAATCGATCCTGGGAACTTTATAAGGCAATTCTCAGGGACGAGAAGTTCAGGGCAAGCAGTAAACATTCACTCTAACAAGTTCAAGCGTCTTGCTCCTATATGAAAGTACCGGCACCACTCTGCCAATCGCCATTGACCGAATTCAGCATTTGCCGGCAATGCGATTGCATGAGAACATTTCATGATTGGTTTGATGGTATTGCGTTCTTCGCTAAATTGAGCATGTATCGCTCAAGTTCACTTTAGTGTGGCCAACTTGGCCGACACTCACTTTCAATAATGAAGCGGTTTTCCTTCCAAAATGTTCGGAAGTAGGAGTCAAACTTGACCGTCTGAAAAAAGAGAGGACACGTGTGATTAAATTTGTTGCGATTGCGAGCTTGGTATGCCTCCCTTTTTGTACCATTTTTATCCTTCAAGCTTATCTACAAGTTTATGTAGTCGGTGAAATCTTGTTGCAATCTATCTCAGCTTGGTATGCTTCCCTTTTCGTGCCATTTTATCCTTCAAATTTATCTAACTAGTCGGTGGTTATTAAGAAAAATTACAAATTGATTGCCGATCAACTATGATGCCCGGCCATGTTAATCACAGCATGGTGTTTACAAATTTTCGCATATTCACATCGTCAAGATTGTGGCCACATTTTAGTGGCTTGTTGCGCTGCGTATCGCAGGTCCCATGTATCGGGTATCCACACTCCACAGCGCTGTGACTTTTCACTGGACTCTCCGCCCGTTTTTCGTGTAATGAACTGTAGTCTATACTGACCTGAGCGCGTTCGTCCAGTACGATGTCCAAGATGTGCAGGCTAAGCTCCACTGTGACTGGCTCTCCTGAAAATGGCATTGATTAACGGTATGACCGGATGACATACTTGGTTTTATGTCTGCTGTTTCTTGTATTATAGTAAGTAAAAATATCTTAAAGCTAACCGGAATAAAGACGATTGGTGGTACACTGCATTTTCTTTTGCCCCTTTTTTCAACGAAGGCAAATGTGCTTTGCGATTTGTAAACGTCTTGCTAATCATGATGAACAACGTTGAATTTAATGTGAATGCATTTTATTCCAGTATTATCGCGCTGAATTTCTACCAATCGTGCTTGTGAGACTCCCCTGCTGCACGTAAATGTCATTTATGCCCGTCTGTATGCTTACCATGTGTACCAATCGGAGGCTCATATTTGGAGTAATTATCAGGCAGTAAAAACCCTGAATTCTCCAAAGAAAGACTTGTCCTGAAGCACAGAACGATCCTGAGAACAAAGTAAAATCACAATCAATCTTAGCTCGTTGGACATAGATTTCCTTGTGATAGCATTTGGGCAGCTGAGAATTAACTGGAACTTTTACAGGACTGGAGCCATGTCAACGCGCTATCTGTGCCCAATTGTACACTGTTTAATAATCTATCTTATCCACCTACTCTACTAATGAAATAAGTTTCACTGGTCTGTATGGGCAGGATCAGACGACATTGGTGGCACACTGAACCGTCCCTCTCCCGCAGCGATAGCACGGCGCTGCAGGGTAAGCCTCCCATGAAGCGACCGAACTGGTTATGAGGCTAAGTGGGCTTAATGTCTCATGGTATCCATGTAGCCTGATAGTCAATGGCTGAATAAGGAACTATGATGTTGGCTATATTTCAACAGGCGATTATCGAAAAAGCTGACAATGACTATCGAGTGCCGACTTGCCGCTAAAGCACTAATCTATTGATAGTTGCGCAGCTCTTACTGAAGGTCAATAACTCGTATGCAGGACGCTTGCGCCTGCATAATTGGAAAAAAAAATGTTGAAAGCTGAAACAGCATGTAATAAAATGGAAAGGACATGAAATTTGGCCGTACGTAAATTGGCTTTAGAATGAATGAGACGTTTTAAGTTCTATTCAATATGGGATATGGGATACATTTGCATGCTGTTTACAAGTCACGTTTATATAACTTATGTTAATCACATGAGTCATATCAACCATGATCTTAGTTATTACAGATTAAAGTGTATAATGTATAGTCCTATGCACTTTTTTCTACATGCTTACCATGCCAGTGTGACTGTAGTCCGTATCATCAGCGTTGATATAATCAGGACCTGTTGGAAACAACTGTATAGTCTTGAGAGGCTTGTTTTTAGGGAGGCTTGAATTGTTTTAACAATATTACAAATAAGTATGCAACAACAGTTTATCAGACTGCAGCCTCTTGAGCAGCATTACACCAACATTTTTATTTCTGTGTGTTACAAAACAAGTCAAACGGTGAATGGGAGGGTGGACGGGCAATAGCAGCGGCAGTTGACGGGCCAATGAACAATCGTCTATCGTGGGCGCGTTTTCAGATGACTTGGTGAGAAAACCTCTTAAATGTTTGGGGGAGAATCGTTGAATATTGCATTACACAAAAGATGTAACTATATGGGACAGGAGTCAGGAACCACCTCTACCCCTGATCAAAAGGCTTCATTGGAAAGTTTACGGCGCTTCTAATCAGCGTCGTTATTTCGTCTATCCGGTCCACCGTTACCACCTAATCCCGTCCTCCGTCGCTGCTCTGTTCCGACCACCGTCACTAATGTGACAGTATTCCGTCGCTGTTGTCACGTCCCCCGTCTCCGCTGTGTCCCGTCTTCTGTCACCGCTGTGTGTTCCCTTCCACTGCACGCCACCACTGCTCGGCCCGTCGCACAATATGCTGTGTGTTTGCTCTGCCCGCGCCGACTGCCGGCCGCGGCGGCCGCACCGCCCGCGACAACCGGTGACCGGGGCCGACTGACCCCCGGACCGGTCGGCGGCGGTACTCACTCGCAGTGGCCCGGCGCACGAGCCGGTCACGCATCGATTGGAGAACACCGTCACCGGTGATGCTGTATTTCATCAGGGCAGTGAGGCAGTGTATCGGGCAGGAATTTTAACTTCTATAAAATCGTTTTTCAACAAGCATTTTTTGTTAAGATTTTGGGCATTTGTTTTCGCACTTTGTAGTCATATGGTTGAACTCAAGGACAAAAAGGTATACGTTCAGCTCCCATAGGTTTTCGGTTTCAAACAACATAAGTAAAACAGCTTCAGTCGACCCCTCGAACAGCTTTAAAGCGTCAGCTCACCGATCTCTCGTCCAGCAAAGCTCTCCTACTTAGTTTTAATTCCAAACGTCGAGCACAGGGCAGTCATCTTATTTGGAACATGCACAAATTGAGTTGGTATTCATTGAAAAACGCTGCCTAAAGGGATGTAAATGATGCAGGATCATGATAACACTTCTAAGCTATGTTGCCGTTACAACAGTATACTTAACTCCTGCATAACAAAGCATTGGAAATGGTGAACGCTGTGATAGTCTGATGCACATATAGGCCTGCTTTTGTGAAAGCGGTTTGTGTCCAAGAAGAGGTCGTCTTGCCTTTGATTTCATTGTCCCGACCAATGAAGGAGAGTACTTTTTGCTATTATAATATCCATAACCATTGGTTATTGACACTGGCTAGAGACAAATCATGAGGCGGCACTTAAAAGTGAATGTTTGGACAAACTAATCGTGTGAATACAAAGTGCCTCCTTGACGTCTTGTTGTTCACGGAAGTTATAACGTGGAGGCCTTGCAGACACGGTTGCGACATGTCGTGCATCCACCTCCTTAGCACCTCTGTGACCTGCCCTGGAACTGACTGCATGCCATGTTGACAAGCGGCGGCGCTAGGTAAAAGCCCGGTCATGTCAGTGTTTACTGGCTAACATGCAATATATATTTTTATTACCTCCATTTTGAGCTGTGCCACCGTCGCCAACTGCACTCCTATACCTGTACCTATTTTTACAGCATATTTGTGTAATTGACTACGCTTAACTCTATGTATAAATAAAGGTGCCTTCCCGCCCCAAACTAATGATCTGGAGTTATCCTCAAAATTAAAAGCGAACTTCTCAGGGTAAACTATGGTCATTCAATATTGTTTGCTCTTCCAAGTGAATGTTCTATTGAAAGACGGAAAATGTGTCAACCGCCGCTCACCCCCCCCCCCCAAATAGATAAATGAATAAATAAATAAATAAATAAATAAATAAATAAATAAAAATGATATTAATAATAATGATAAGTTTTATTGTTATTATTATTATTATTATTATTATTATTATTATTATTATTATTATTATTGTTATTATTAGTATTATTATTATTATTATTATTATTATTATTATTATTATTATTATTATTATTATTATTATTATTATTATTATTATTATTATTATTATTATTATTATTATTATTATTATTATTATTATTATTATTATTATTATTATTATTATTATTATTATTATTATTATTATTATTATTATTGTTATTATTATTATTATTATTATTATTATTATTATGAAAATAATAAAAAACACAAGGCTGCCGCAGAAATCCTGTTCATCGTCTTCGAGGTGCCTATTTTAGGTACGAGTTGGTAAACGAAATCTAAAGGGAAAAGTTCACTTTCCCGAAATTAGTTTTTTTGCAATGGATTTGATTTTTATGCTCAAACTGACCAGCAAAGGAAATAAAACTTTTTTTGACATTATCCTCTATATTATACCTAATATAGGAAGAAATATATTCTATATCAAACATTGTTTGACGTGGAAGCTTATTACGCGTTGACCAATCATCTTGCGTATTTTAAACCCATTGGCTGTAAGCAGCATGCTGATTGGCTGGCGCCAAGCTGAGGCTGAGGTGGCTACATTCTGGGTATATTTCTTCATTAGGACACCACTTTCCTGTTTAGGACGCTTTTTTCGGAACGAGAAATGGAATATCTTTCCCTAGGGTCATCGTTGGGCCGTGAAAGCTTCTACTTTGTGCTGGTCTCAGCTCAAGCTACGAAACTGTTATTCAGGTCAAAGCCTTATGTTAAAAGTGAATTATTTCCTTTAAATGAACATATTCTGTTTTAACAAGTGACCAAACTAATATCGAGGCCCTGGGTTATAACCATGTATAATTATACCAGGACCTCACCTGGTGGCACCCCGTTATTTATGTTGCCAGACACGAATAAGCATTTTTTATATCAACAGGAAGCAGTAACTTACATGGCCCCCGTAAAATCGTATGTAATAATAGAGGAGGGTAAATGCAAATGCTGCCCACAGCGCCAATAAGCCAGTGGTTCTCAATGTACCAAAAACATGGAAAAGTTGACCTTTCGCCCGCGCAATGGCTTTCTTCGTATATGTGGCCCGTCATGTACACATTGTACATACAATGTGTTCCATTTGTCATCCGTTTGACCGCCGCCGTGCCTGTGCTGGACAGTGGACAGACGTCCCAGCTGCCGCCGCTTTGTGCCGCACGAGGCTCGCGGGACACAGGCAATCGGATCAATGCCTGTGCGATGGACCATGGACGGTACCCTATGCGGGCTCAATGACACAACTGCGATGGTCTGATGCCGTACAGAGCATCAGTATAGCACCTTGCTCTTGTCCGTCATTTGTGTTGATTTACATATACGATACACTATTGCGGTTTGCTCATGACAGTTTTTAGTTACCTGTTGTAGTAGTTCTTATCCGTGGGTGTTTTATTTGCGCCGGCATTCTCCAATAGTTCGCCCAATCCAGTAACCCGATCATAAGACAGCCAATCGATTTTTATCTTGTCAAGGTCATGACATAGCTGGAAAGTTGGCCATATCAGTCAATTCGTATTGTTCGAATGTATAGTCGACTACAAAATGATGTTCCACTTTTCACAGGCAATTATTTGCCTGGAGTGGTAGGCTGTGCCGCATCACACGGGCTGAGTTCACAAATGATAGCTTTGTCCCAATGCTCACAATCGACACGCTTAATTGCGTGATAAACGGCACAACTTAGCGCTCCGGTCAACTAATAGCTTCTGAGAAGTGAATGTTATTCTGTAGTCGACTATACTTACGTTAGGTGTTTTCATCCCCTTTACGTCTCTTTCGGTGAATGATGAAGGATTGTTGATGATCTTTTTTTTGCGTCGCATAACCATGAAATGTAACGTGGAGTCATGGGTGGAATTTTGCAATTCAGGGTGGCTTAGACACCTAGATATTTCAGACGTTTGTGAGTTCTTAGAAGGGTGTAATTTTATTGTACCTATTGCATCGCACGTTATAGGTAGCATTGATGTACCCAATTCTGCCACTTCTAGGTGGCTTTTTGTCCATGTGATTTAAAAGGACCTTTCTCATTCTCCAGTAAGGAGGTATCATGTTCTCCCACTGGCTTTTCGTGAAAAGTCGTGAAAATGATGAGGTATCAGAAAATATCTTATGGCTACCTACAGATAATGAAAGTCCAGGAACCACCTATCATTTTATTGCACCCACATTTCTCGTGATAAGTTCGAATTCCTCATTGGACATTGGACAAAATCGGAATTCCGAATGCCCAAGTTGCGATTGGCGCCACTCCTCTGTGATCGGTCGTGTGTCATGTCTCCTCCAGGGTTTCACCTGATCGCATATCACTAAGTCCTCTGAGGCTCTGACCCTCCCAGTCTGAGAAATCGGGATATGATCAGCGTGGTCACAATCGTCATGTGTCAGTGATGTGGAGCGTGCAGTCGAGGCTCTCCCGCTTGGTGGGTGGTGAATACTTACGTATCAGTTCATTTGAGAAAGTAGTGGACCTTCCTGATCCTGAGGAAGATAGCTGGCTTGATATCTCGAGGTGGTGCACAGCGATTTCACGGCAAATCATTAGAGTTCAATGTCTGGTATATTTTTGTCGAAAGTAGGTATACACAGAAGTATTTGTACAAGAATACACGGGCTCGTTTTCGCCTGGTGTTTGAATGCACATTCAGGTTTCACAACAACTGCTTACTGTGCGCGAATCGATGCACTGCATATAGCAATGCGTGGTGTCTTTTCTGCAGGCGGGATGCACTGATTTATTCTAGATGGTGAAAAATGTCCTTTTAAGCGCCAACTTTTGAGTATTTCTTGAATTGAAAAACACAATTTAGCGTGTTGGGTGGAGACTTCCATTTTGCGTCTAGTTAGTTAGACGCGTCTAGCTGGATGGCGGCTGCGTCTATCTGGCGACTGCTAACTTTAGACGCGTCTAGCTTGGAAGTCTCCGTCCAACAGTTAGACGCCAAGCTAGACGCCAATTTGGACGTCTGTTCAGTAAGACGCCAGTTGGACGCCAGTGGAAATCTACACCCAACGGGTGGAGATTCGTTTTCACATTTAGATAAGTTGTGTTTTCACTACATTAAACAACTAACGCTCGGTTACATAGCATGAGCCACTGGCGCAGCCTTTCCTCCTTTTGAATGCACGTCCTTTTTACCGGTGATCATTGGCTCGTATAAGTGATACCTCGGAGGCAGATCGTCATTCGGTGACAGCTCCATCGAGGGACACATTTGACTATCCAGTGGCACTCATTATCCACCGTCCACAGACGTGCACAGCGCTGCACAGTGACGCTCAGCGTCTCAATATCCACAGTCCGTGGACCTGCACCGCGCCACCCAGTGACAGCTACACGCAGTGTTAGTTCCGCACGGTGTCAATTCGGGCCGCTGATAGCTCCACCTGCAGCTCCACGCTGCACAGTTCCAGTAATTGATAGCCGTTTGACGGTCCGCCCGGACAGCGAGTCTGTTTGTCAACACCGGATGATCACTGATCAGCCCAGGTAGTAGGCCCAGTAGGCGATGTTGAAGATGGCAAAGGCCACCACGGAGGCCACTCGGGAGAACCGCTCCAGACGATCGGCCTTCTCGGCGCCCGTCATCGTCCAGTTGCCCTTCAGCGTCTTCGCCTGCCGACATTCGAATAACAAACAAAGGGGGCATTGCTCAGCGTCAGCAACAACTGCATTACACCTGTCAAAGAAAATCCGTACGCAACTAGCGATCTTCTACGTTCTTTATGGTATAGGTCCGTCCCCCTGCGTGGCAGTCACCCACCTTTTTATACCTGTTAAATGTGTATGAAAAAAATGTTAGGTTGTGACTTCAGCTTGGATGGAGTAAAAGACATTGGTTATATCAAAAGACGCTCGGATTTCTGCCACCTTGCAGCGCCAATCAGGGTAATCACATGAATCACTCATTGGAGCCTGGGTCAAAAAGGCAGTCGGGCTCTTATTCTTACGTCTATAACGGATATCAGTTCATGAATAGTCCCATCATCTGGTATTCCAAACTGCTTACCTTGTTTTGTTCCTTTGGTGCAACCGTGGCGGTATTGTTATGTGTTGATAGCCTGTGAGCATTGATAATTGTTGTCAGTGAACTTAAATTTCATACAATTCTTTTTAGGTATGTCAAAGCAAATCAGTTTTTGGGGATTATCAATAGACAGGTGTGACATATTATAGTGCATGTATGGCCTAAACTTTTGAATTAATTTTATAAGGGGAAAAAACCCAAGAAATTACCCAACGTTTCGCATTTATTGCTTAGTCATGGGTCTTCGAGGGCGATTGTCGCTAGTCGGGCTCTTATTCTTACGTCTATAACGGATATCAGTTCATGAATAGTCCCATCATCTGGTATTCCAAACTGCTTACCTTGTTATCGCCTTGTATTGGCATTGTTTCTTTAATTTGGCTGTCGAACATAAATTTATGGTTTGAAATATTATTTTATGTAAAATAATTGATATGAAACAGCCGTCTCTACCAATCGCCCTCGAAGACCCATGACTAAGCAATAAATGCGAAACGTTGGGTAATTTCTTGCGTTTTTTTTTCTTTTAAAATGAATTCAAAAGTTTAGGCCATACATGCACTATAATATACCAGTAAAGCGCCTTTTGGGCGAAGAACGAGCGAGCGAGATAGTGAGCCCTGCACGTGCAGAAGGGCGAGAGGGTACTTCCAACGGGCTTGTGCAAAGCACCCTTCTAACCGGTCGCTAGCGGTGTGCCAAATTTGAACGCAATCGGCCCAGCCGTTCCTGAGATCTGGAAGCGGCATTCTGCACGTGCGCACGTGCAAACGGGGTCCAAAATGACTTTTGCACGGCACCCATATACTAACCGGTCCCCAACCGTGTACCAAATTTGAGCGCAATCGGCCCAGCCGTTCTCGAGATCTGGAAACGCCCCCTGCACGTGCGCACGTGCAGTACCACCCTAACCGCAACACATGGGAATGCATTGCCTGGTGGGTGCCTACCTGTATGCCAAGGTTCAGCGAAATCGCCCCAGTAATTACCGAGTTACTGAAATGGGAACAAATTTGGCACCTCTTATTGTTGTATTTTGCACGTGCAGTGGGGGTCACTCACATAGATCAAAAGTATCCGAACTTTGGTAGAAGGGATGCAGCTACCCTATAAAAATTACCGCAAGACAATCACTCAAGCCGCTGCTGAGATATGGGCCTCTCAAAATCATTACTTTTGCAAAACTGCTTAAACACCCTTGACTTTTCACGTGGCACGTGCCACGACGGTCACTGAGATGTATCAAAAGTAGTCAATTACGGAGTAGAAGGGATGGGGCTACCCAGCAAAAAAGACCGCAGGTCATTCGGTCCAGCGGTTGCTGAGATATAAGCCTCTCAAAAGCGTTACAGGCCGGGCCGGGCCGGGCCGCTCATACTGAGATTTTTCCGTTATATTGAAGAGACTTCGCTTCGCTCGCTGCGCTCGCTCGCTCGTAATCAGTTTTTCTATCATCTGTTATCTATATATTAATTCCTGTCAGCTGGCCATTTCATTATGAGCATAGGATGATAAAATATTATTTTTGATCCGATGTGAATAGGTCTACGCAACGATAAATCCTGACAAATGGTCTATCGTTCGAACTGTTGCTGTTTTCACTTCAGAGGATGTCGTCCACTAGGTTTCAGGTTATCTGTTTGGTTATGCATAGGTTTTACCTGAGAACGACAATGTATTCCAAGATTGTCCCGAAGACGAAGACGATGCATGCCAGTGTCCAGACGTCTATCGCCTTGACGTAGCTGACTTCAGGCATTCCTTGGCTGAAAAAATATGATTATTGTTCGCTGTTTGGAAAGGTAGTAATGGCATATTAGTTCGTAACTTCTGGCGAGGTGCTGTTGGTTGATATTTACTTCGGCATGCTGGTTGTCTTGTCCACGTGTTTCGTAAGCTTCGCTAGGAACAACGCATGTGGTTATTAAAGTAGAAGATTCAATGGAATTGTTAACCGCTGTTTTCTCAGCGCTGTACTCACACATTGGCGCTGAAGAGTGCTGTGAGCGTCAGGAGAGTGGTGATGACCAGCACCATCCGACCGGGCACCATTTCGGGAGGAACCTGAAATAATGGTCAGCGTCAGGAGAGTGGTGATGACCAGCACCATCCGACCCTGCACCATTTCGGGAGGAACCTGAAACACAGTGAAAGACATACTATGAGGTCTAACGGTCAGCGTTAGAAGAGTCGTGATGCCGCTCCCAGAAGACCAAGTAGACACAAGCTTGATGCGCGAATGCGTACCCATAGTGAAAGCCAGCTGACACTAAGTACTTACATACGTACGTAAATACGTACCCATAGTGAGAGCTAGTGAACAATATACATACCCATAGTGAGAGCCAGCTGACACTATATATTATACATACCCATAGTGAGAGCCAGCTGACACTATACAGGTGTCCCATAAGTTCCTTCTCACCTAAATTTTTCTTTTAGAGGCTCTCTTATTTAAGGCCATGCTTAATTCATTTTGTAACTGAGCTTTTGGGGTTGCCATGGCAACTGTGAATATGCTCCACGATAACTAATTCGTCTAGACAAAATATTTGTTGCTAGAGAGTTCACTTCATGTGGAGACGGCTTACGCCGCAACATAGAGGTCTCCAATACGGGTACGTCTCGATATTTAGTCTGCACGTGGGCCATTCGCGACGGTTGAGGGTGATTGAGGCATCCAGTCTGTAGCCAATGTCTGCCGCTAACTGGACGCACAATCAGCAAGTGACGTCGATGATTTGTCGGGAGTCAATCGCTGCAAGTTTATGCTCTTTTTTGACTGCTCTCAGGAGTGAGCCATGTGGCCAAAACTGTGTGGCGCCAAAGTGGCCGTCAAAAAGGGCTTAGCGTTAGAAAGTTGGTGAACAGGCTTTTCAGGATGGATTACCAGCTGTCTAAGAGTATTATTTCGGGGTACATAACTCTTGGTCACTTGAGCTTAAACTTAACGGAGGACGCAAAGCAATCGAAAATGTCTTAAAATGGCCAAACATGTGTTTCATTATGCCTGAGGCCAAAAAACTGGAGGGCCGGTGACATCAATGTGGTCATCTGGACTACCTAGTCCGTGTTCGAGATAAAACACCCGTCCAAACACCAAACGGTCCCATATGGGCGACGGAAAAGGCCTTCGTGTCATCCCGCTTTATTCCTATGCAAGAGGCCAGGATCACGGTAATGTGGGGTAATATGCGTCCAGACGCTAATCAGGTTGCGATTGATACTCCAGAAACAGTGTTGGGACGCAGAATGCTTCTCCAAGAAGATCTAAGAGGAGTTTCAGCCTTCTAGCTTAACTCAAACCGCAAGTATGAACACATTTTTGGAGGAGAAAATGGCATCCGGGAGGTCGTAGGCCCATCTTCATACAAGGAAGTGCATCAGTGCACAGGTCAAGGAAAGCTTAAAAGCAGTACCAGGAGACTGTGATAGGCGTCTGTGGCAAGATCATATCCCAGGCAACTCATCAGATCCAAATTTCATAAACATGTGTTGGGAATATTGAAATCGAGGCTCGTCGAGGCGAAGCACTGTTCCAGCCTCGAGGAGCTCACGGTGCATGTCAAGTCAGTCTGGGCTAACTTGAAGCCTGCTATGCTGCCAAACATGCCGGTTGGCATGCCGCGGCATGTATTCATGTGTTTGCCTATGAAATGGGGAGCACATTGAGGGGTCATAAACATATCAAAACGCAATGTACTCTGTTTTACATGCAAATATAATGTGAGAACAAACTTATGGGACACCCTGTATATTACACATACCCATAGTGAGAGCCAGCTGACACTATACTCCACACAGCATACGTACCCATAGTGAGAGCCAGCTGACACTATACTCCACACAGCATACGTACCCATAGTGAGAGCCAGCTGACCATTACCACCAGCAGACTGGGCACATACACAGCCAGGATCGAGAAGCGCAGTTTACGCTTGAAACGCATCTCGAACCTCAGCTCTGCGTGGCTGTCTGTGAAGAATCGAAATAACAACTTGTTAGCCAATTTGTGCTTGCGTTGTACCACTCCTTGAATCGTGTGGTGTTATAACATCATCTGTGATCGATTGATGCAGGCTTCTCTGTACGTCGCCACCATGTCAGTTGGCAGCTTTTGTATCACATTCAGATGCAGACTGAATAAGCTGCTGTTATCATACAGGAAATAATTAAAGGTAGTGTGCCACCTTCCAATGATTTCCCATTTTATCTTTCCTAGGATAAGAAGCTTCTGTTTTTACCTAATATCGCAAAAAAATCTAAAATGGGCCTAAAATAGTGCTTTTTTCGCCTAAAAGTTTATCGGTTTTTCGATATGTATAACAACTCTAGTGGGCTGACCTGCAAACAGGCGTCGGCAACAATCGCGAATGCGGCGCACATGTGACAATAAGCAAAGGTCATTATAGAGTTACGACGTACGGGAATGAGTTATCAGCTGTCTAATCGTAGACAACACAATGTCGAATTTAAACTGTGAGCCTGTATTGGTATTGTCTCTTTAATTTGGCTGTCGAACATTAATTTATGGTTTGAAATATTATTTTATGTAAAATAATTGATATGAAACAGCCGTCTCTAAAGTTATGACCCCATCTCACCACATGGAAGTGGCAGAAACGACAATGATCAGCTGACGCATTTTTCTTGGCCGAAGTCAGAGCGCGCGGCCCGACGCACCACCACCGCACCACAAAGTATGAGCAGAAGCCACCTGCGGTAGACCGCGCCCAAAGCCAGGACCCCGGTAACGTGAGGTAGCCGAGTCGGGGCAGCGTGCGCTGACCCAAGCCGGGGCCGCGGCTTTCGGCGCGGTCTACCGCATCCCCGGGCAGCCCCGGGCTATCACATGACACCGGGAGGACGCGCGGCCCCGGCTTGGGTCAGCGCACGCTGTCCCGACTCGGCTACCTCACGTTACCGGGGCCCTGGCTTTGGGCGCGGTCTACCGCACCACCTAACAGGCGTGTTCGAAACCGCAGGAGATGATGATGAACGGGTTTATCGAAACTTGATTGGATGAGCCTATCGGTAATAGCGATTTCAGTGTGTGCATTTATTGTTCATAGTGGTGTGAAATGTGGTTGGGGTACGACCGACAACCCGTCGGGGCGAATTTCGCACTGGGGTACTCAAAATTTGAAGAATTTAAGACGTTTCCATGAGTTTTGAAAGTATGGCTAAGTTCTAAAAATCCGGTTCTCCTTATCTGGGCCATTAACTCCATACGGTCCAGGAAAGCTGGCACACTACCTTTAAAGTTTATATCGGAAAGTCGTGGGTTTCAATGCGCTAGTAATAGTCGAATGCTGATGTTTGTAATGCTGTGCTGCTACTTGAAAATATATAAGATTTTATAAAAAAGCATTAAATCTTAAATCGGCAAGCAGTGGTAAAGAGTCATAACTCATATGACGGTGCAACTGACACCAGAACAGTTTTGATTGCCTCACTGTTGAACACGCCGACTCTGACTGGCGGCAGGGTACGGATGTCCTCCAGGTAGAAGCTGCTCATCACGATGTCCTCACGGGTGATGCCCTTGGGGTGCCACTCGATGGTCAGCGTCTCCGATGTGTACGCATCTGCGGTAGCAGGATATGATGAACATCGTATAGCTAGAAGTTTATGCGTTACAGGTTTGAGACGCTACCAGCCATGTTAGTCTATCACGATAAGTTTCAAACCGAACCAGCCCTATTGCCGTCATAACATTTGGCGAAGAGGACTGGTTTGAACAGTGGCGCGGGAACTTCTTCCAGACTGGGGGGGGGGGGGGGCTGAACCATAATAGAAATCAACCTAGGGTACCCCCAAACCTAGTTTTCTCAACGGTTTTAGGCCACTTATTTTTCAGACCTTGGCCTTTTCAACAACAACAAAAAAACACGAAAATATTTTCAAAAAGTGAGGTATTCCGTCTCAGCTGAGTGAAGAAACTACCGTTTTGGCAACCTGGAGTAAAGGTTTTAATCTGCCAAACGAGTTGCCGAGCCAGTGAAATAGGTGGATTTTTCACTTATATGCTTTCTTCCTTTGCGACCCACAACCCCTAATTTGGGGAGGACAAGCTGCCCAACGGTTCCTGGCCTCATGAAACGTTGTGGGGCACCGCCCCCACGGCCACAGAGTTGTGGGGGCAAGCTTCCCCCACTGCCCCCTACCCCAGTTCCCGCGCCTATGTATGAATCTATAAAATTATGTTGGTAGATTTCCGATTTCGATTCCTCCAGCTGGGGGGGGGGGGCTCAAATACATTACGAGCCCCCCCCCCAGCCGAAAAGCTGGGGGGGCTCAGCCCCCGCTAGCCCCCCCGGTTCCCGCGCCACTGGGTTTGAATATGAATGCATAAACGCCCAACGGACAACGGTGAAGGATCTGAAGTTGTGTTCACGTTAGAGAAATGGGCAGCAAATTAATACATGGCCTATGCAAGTGTCAGAGGGTGATTGTTTTGTTTATTGTAGCTAATTTTACGCAAAGTTAAAGCGACTAAAAACGGTAAAATAGTCTACACTTGCCGCGCCGCCCGGCTCAGGGCGGTTTACTGGATGCATAGACTGTGCCGCAATGCAGCTGAGTAGTGCGGCGCAGTATACGATCCTCCCGTCACTGCCAAACGCCGGACAGCCGCGGAGAGAACATTGCTCTGTCCTTTAGGAATGCACCATGCAAGTGCCTCTTTAACGGTGCCATAGTGTGTAAAAATGGCGTAGCTTCATTATCTGAAATGTGATGTCTCCTGTCTCCATACGTTTGAATATGGTAGGTTGATAACTATAATGAAATGTATTTTGTTTATATACTTGTACATGAAATACTTACAGCTCTGTATTTTGACTGTGCATGTTTGTCTATCCATTGGGTAGTTGAAGTACAGCAGGTTGCATTTGACGGTTGTCAGGTATAAACTGGACTGAAACAGAAAAAAAAAACAAATATCAGCTATTTCTGCATTCCTGCCACCGTTGCATTCCTGCCACAGTTGCATTCCTGCCACAGATGCTTAAATAAATAGATCATGAGACATGAGCTATTTTTTTGTAACATTCCGCTTAAAATGAACGAATGAATAAGCTCGCTAGTTGTTAATGTTGCGGTGAATTGTCGCGGCTTTTATGCCGTGCGTTGGCTCCCACTTTTTAGTATTTTATTAGTGTTCCATTGTATTTCCAGTCCCAGTGCTTTGCAGACGACATTTGGTTGCTGCCGTCTGTGCTTCTGACTGGTTTTCACCGTAATTCACTGTACGCATACGGCATAGGCTCTTAGCGCCGTCACTGCGTTTGCAAGGATGTACCCGTAAAACACGCCGCCATGATGGAAACGCTGCCCGCCTGGACGAAAGTATGACGTCACATCTGGGCCCTCTGCGCTTCTGATTGGCTGCCTGTTCCGCCTTGACGTTGCAAGCTTCTGAGGTCATCGCATCTGACAGAGTGGCGAAGACTACTGCGCAGGCGCACTGACTGACCTTGTTGGTGCCATCTTGCGGTGAGCTCTCGAACCGCACCTTCCACAGTCCGCCATGATGCGTGCCACGGCGCTGCTGTTGGCGCTGCTGCTGCTGGCCGGCGGATGTCGGAGCTCGCCCGGTCCCGGTCAGCCGTCGGTGCGGCGAGGGGCGGTCGGCGGCAGGGCTCCACGGTTCCTACATGCACGGACGCCGCATCATACCAACTCCTGCTCCACATGGAACATCACCAGACTGGCACTATGTGGTGACGTTGAAGTCAACCCGGGCCCGACTGAGCGGCTCTGCACGTCGGACACCGGCCGCCAGGGGGCGTTAGCTGGAGATAGACAGACTGTGACCTGCTTCTCACAAAACGTCCGGAGTATCAAAAACAAACTGGGTACCCTTCGGGCCCATTCTCCTGTTTTTGAGCGCTTTGACATCCTGGCCTTGACGGAGACGTGGTTGAAGCCGTATGTCGGTGATTCCGAGCTTCAGCACGGACTCAGCAGTCACGTGTGGTTCCGCCGGGACCGTGAGGAGTCGGTCGGGGGTGGTGTGGCCTGTGCTGTGAGGGCCGCTCTCCAGCCTCTTCGACGCGCCGAGGTGGAGCAGGGAGAGGTCCTAGTGGTTGACCTTGTTGGTCTCCGTCCGGCAGTCACAGTGATTGTTGGCTACCGGCCGCCGGATGATGACGCGGCAGTGACATCTATAGTGAATGTGCTCGAGACTGTATGTTCTGCTGGCCGGTCTGTGATTATGCTGGGTGACTACAATCTTCCTGAGATCGTTTGGCACGGGCCGGATCGTCCTCCCCAGCTGCTGCGGCGGTCTGCGCGTGCCACCACCTTCTTGGATGCTGTCGACCAGCACGGACTGCGCCAGCATGTGCTGCAGCCTACTAGAGAGAACAGCACACTGGACTTAGTGCTGACGAACATCAGCGGGGTGCAGTGTGACTCTGATGTCGGTTATTTTGACTCTGACCATAATCAGGTCACGGCGACATTCACAGTGCCTCGGACGGGCTGCGCTCGTGTGACACGCAGCACTGCTCTTAACTATCGGCGCGCAGACTTTGAGGCATGCACTGCGGCTCTTACCATGGAATATGCTAGATGATCTTGCTGTTGATGACGCTGTTGAACTGTTTTATGAGTGGACTGACGCGGCAATATCAGATCACATTCCGTTGGTGACTCTGAAGGCTCGCTACCCACCATGGTTCGATGCAGATGTTAAGCGAGCGTTGCGCCAAAAAGAGATTGCCCACCGCCACAAGAAACAGTCACCTACCGATGAACGGATTAAACGGTTTGCAACCTGTAGGACCCAGTTTAAGAGTTTAGTCCTGTCCAAGTACCGCAGATACATGTTGCACATCGTCGATGACTTCAAGAACAACTCGAAACGGTTCTGGTCTCTGTTAAAATCCGTAAAGTCTTCAAAAAATGTTTCTGTTCTGAAATGTGATGGTAGAATTATATCTGACGATCGTGATAGAGCCGAATGTCTGAGTCGTGCGTTTGCTGCAAAATTTTCTGACCCAGCTGTCGTTCATGACTTACCTGTGGCACCGAGTTATGACGTAGATAGTCTGTCAAGGTTTGTTGTGAGCAGTGACAAAGTTAGAAACATTCTACTTACCCTTGATGTGCATAAGGCTTGTGGACCAGACGGTCTTAGTGGTAGAATTTTGAAGGAGTGTGCAGCAGAGTTCACTGTGCCGATCACAAAACTCATTCGACTTTCGCTGAGCCAGGGCACCTTTCCTAGAGTCTGGAAACGCGCGTACGTTACCCCGGTTCACAAGAAGGGTGACCGCAAAAATCCCAGCAACTATCGCCCGGTTTCCCTCTTGCCGATTTGTTCCAAAATATGTGAGCGCATCATATGTGACCAAGTGATTCAACACGTGTCGCCCGTTTTATCCTCAGCACAGCACGGTTTTTTAGCAGGACGTTCATGCGAGACCAATCTTACCTGTCTTGTCGATCAGCTGTGGCGTTCGATAGCCGAGGGGGCTCAGACTGACGTAGTTTATACGGACTATTCGTCGGCTTTTACTAGTGTTGACCACTCTCTGCTTTTACATAAGCTACAGAAGTCATACCATTTGTCTGGTGCCGCTCTCAATTGGTTCCGTTCTTACCTGAGTAGGAGAGAACAGAGTGTAGTGTTGAACGGCAAGTGTTCTGACTGGGTGCGTGTGAAGTCAGGAGTGCCGGAGGGCAGCATATGTGGGCCAATCCTGTTCGTCTTATTTTGCAACGACGCCCCTCTCGACATATCTTCTGGGTGCCTGATGTATGCAGATGATCTGAAATTGTACCGTCGCATTCGAACTGCTAGTGACTCTTTGGCTCTTCAAGCAGACGTAGATAAATTGTGTCTTTGGTCAGGTACGTGGAAGTTAGCTCTGAACCCATCTAAATGCAAAAGTATCACGTTCACACTTCGTGGAAAGCATTTAGATACAACCTACCACATTGGCGGTACTGCACTGGAACGTGTGAGCCAGATGCGTGATCTTGGTGTTCTGCTTGACTCAAAGTTGACATTCGGCCCCCACATTGATGAACTTGTAAGAAAAGTAAACCGCGCCTTGGGCATGTACTTGAGGTCGCTTCAGAGTTATCGAGCTCCCGCCGGCCGTAGGCTACCGCCAGGACCTATAATGACAGGTTTCAATGCCCACATTCGTGCAATCATGGAATTCGGTTGCGTGATATGGGGCGGAGCAGCAAAAACTCATATTGCGAGATTGGAGCGTATCCAACACAAGTTCCTGGTGTGGTTGGGCAGGCATTCAAACAGTCCATGTGCTTCTCTTGACTATACTGATCTGCTTCGTCATTTTGGTGTCTTGCGAATTGACCAGCGGCTTGTTCTGAATGACTTGAACTTCGTGCAGAACGTGTTCACCGGCAGGATCGACTCCGGTGACATTCTTGCGATGTTTTCACTCGCTGTACCATCGCGAACTCGTTCCAAGCCTGTGCTGTATGTGCCTGCAGCAAGGGTTGACACAATCAGAAACGGTTTGTTCTGTCGCTTGCCACGAGCTGTGAACAGTCTATGTGAGAAACGGCCCACTGCTGACCTGTTCGGATCCCGGGCGGCGTTTAGAAGTCAGGTGAAGGCATTCGTATCGAGTCTGTAACCTTATTTATACATGTGTTAGTAAGACATAGGTAGGTGTGTGAAAATGTGGCGTATATTTATGCTTGTGACTCCGTCTGTAAATGGGGTGCACCTGTGGACGGTATATTTCAATACACAATACACAATACACAATGGTCAGCAATGCAATGGTAATAGATATACAATATCCTTGACCTTATAATTTATGACTGTCAGAGATGCATATTGCATAGTGTATCCAACATTACAGGGACGTTAACGACACTCGACATGACTTACTGCGTAACGCTTCACGTCCGACTTACCCTGAATATCAACTTATCCTCATAAAGGTGAACGCCAGCTGCGGGCACAATTAGCTCCGGCTTTTCCACCTTCTGGACGAACAGGGCGAAAATGTTGGGCAGCCAGAGCTTCGTGGTAACCTCCGTGTCCATTTGAATCACCGGTCTTGTCATGTCTGCCGGCACAAATGTATGATATCCGGGTCTGCCGGCACAAGTGGACGTGTTAGGGGGGGGGGGGGGTGCCGCTGTTGATAGTCATGTTGGAAGTTGTGCCGCCGTTGATAGTCGTGTTGGAGGGTGTGCCGCTGTTGATGGGCGTGCTGGAGGGTTTGTCGCTTCCAGATGGACGTGTTAGGGAAGTGCCGCTATCCTAAAGACATGGAGGGGGGGGGGGGGCGCTGTCGGATGGGCGCGCACTGCTGTCTTAACAAGATGCTAGGCTGCTCTGTGCATAGTGGTGCGGAGAGGGGGGCTGGGGAGTGGGTAAAGAGTGGAAGACTTAAATAGCATAGTGTGCTGGCAGCTGAACTCGATGTGTGTGGAGACGAAAAGCATATTTAGAAAAATTCATGCAATAAACTGTAAAGCTAATTGTGCAAAATGTGACTCACTTTTGAAAATGATGCGATTTTCCACCCAGAATGTCCGGAAGTAAGAATCGAATTTGACAGTCTGAAACAAAAGCATGTCGGCAAAATTCACATCTTCGCTCATGAGTTTCCTCAAGTATTCTCTACATAGTGTTGTCGCTGCTACACTTATGAGCAATTTTCAATATATCCGTTTTCTCTCTCTCCATATCAGACTTAATCTATGAATAATAGCAAACTTATTTCAAACTCAACGTGTTTATTCCCTTCAAGCCTTGTTTCAAGTGTTTATTTCGTTGAGCTCAAGTTCACAGCAAGCAAAGAAGCTGGATATAGCGGATCGAACAGGATGGCACGTCAACTGTTTGCTCCAGATGGCTTCCAGCGGAATGTGCAGAGTCCTGCTGTACGTGGGCTAGCAGGGCTCTACCTGGGCTAGCAGGACACATAGTTACCTACCTGAGCTGCCTCATCCAGTACCACGTCTAAGATGTGCATGCTTAGCTGCACATTGACGGGCTCCCCTGCAAACGATAGGTACATACGAAACTCATTGGGTCGGTACAAACGCATACAGTCAGTGCAACCAAGGATTCACGCCGAACCCTTTTATGAACTCCACTATGTGGTATTTCCATGAACGTGTTTGCCGTTGAATGATTTCATATGTGAACACTGACACAATTGACAGACGTTTGATTTAAATAATTTAAGATTGACAGGTTACAACAGTGTTGTTGATTATGCGAAAAGTCGATAATCCTTTCAACTAAACATGTAATCCTTGACCTGCAACAGTGTCCTTTTTGTGACATTCGTACTCTACATAACTACCCAGCATCGAATGGACAGCCAATGCAAATTGAGTTCGATGCATTGAGCAGGTCAGGGTGGTCGCCTAGAAATCACACGCGATCCTCGCGTGTCTGTGCACCATTCGCTGGCCTTTCACACGTGCAGCGTTTGAGCAGCGCGACGCTGTATCGCTAGACAGACGCGTCGGCTGGATTGCGTGACTTGCTTTTGAACCCTTCACTATGCCTCTGTATCCATTGTACACGAACTTGAGTCAGCTAAGAAATTTAATTCTTCGAAAGTTGTGAAACAGTTGTGCTCATAATGAAACAGTCAAAGAAGTATTGCGCGAAGTGTTGCATGTTGCATGATAATGACATTGAATTGATTTGTTTAGTTAGTGGAATGCTTATAACACTTAAGCCTTTGATTCCTTTAAAGTTGGTACACAAGGTTAATTGCTTTTTTTACTCGCTGGCTGCGCATACAATGCGAGTTATGTGGAAAAGTTACCGCTGCGAAGTTTTTGTATGCCTATACGAGCATATGTTATGTGTTTGCTCACCGTCCGGCCCAATCGGCGGCTCCCACTTCGCATAGTTGTCCGGTAGTGAAAACGTTGATCCTTGTAGCGCACCGCTTGTCCTGAGATTGAACAGCATCAGCCTGAGAACGCAGTGAAAAGGTTCTCAGCTAGGCAAAAAAGTCCTATATGATAAAATGGGCATATCATCGGAATAATAGAAACACCTGAAACTAAAGTTCTGCTTAAGTTAAAAAAAGAATTTGTTGTTAACGAGGCGGCACTGGACTGCCCAACTCCTGTGAAGTGTCACAAACAAATCGCATTCGTGCGGCGTTTACGCCACGCAAATTGTCGGCCACGTCACAGTAGGGTATATTTTCCCCACCGAGCCCCTCATCCAGCGAACATCAAAATAAAATGTTCAGAGTTCTGGTAGCGCCTGCAGCATCGACCGCCTGCTATGGTCCCTCGGCGCGTCAACAGACACTCGGGGCTGCAGCCCGTCGCTTCTGCTTTGTTCGAAAGACCGTCCACCCATGTTTCCATCTATGAAAATGTTTCGGTTCAGTGACTTGTTTGCTGGGTGCAAAATGCATTATTTGATTATTTCAATTGAAGAGCTTCACTTGATTGCTGCCATTTAAAAGGTTCCACGCTGCATGGAATGAAAAAAAATATATTTTTTAGAAATAGGTATTGAGCTTTGAAGTGATAAAAGGTCTTCCCACGTTAACAATATGAAACCATTAGCTAAATAGCAACTACATGATTGCATGCCGGTTTTGGTGAAACACTTGACATTCCATCCCAGGGGCCCAATCTTATTAAAGACGTAGTATTAATGGATTTGGCAGCCCTGGCTGAGTTTCAGCTGTAGAAAACTGTATGTATTAAGATGCAGAATGTTGTTTTGCGCATTTCAGCCTATCGCATATTGACGGTCTCAGGAATCGTTTCGTTTACACGGGTAGGCATAAGCCATCACTGGCATCACATGACATGGGAGTATGTTACCAAATGCCGTGAATAGAATAGAACGGGCATACGGCACGTTATCAGATTGGGTAAGGGTGCTAAGACACCCATCGAAGGGTGGATCTTGGCTCGGTCTGTAAAGTGGCAGACACCTCATGAAGCCGTACCGCCACTTGGTTTCCGCAATCCGTTAAAACGAAGCAAGCCTCCATAGTTAATGCTGTTGTTTCGATCGTTCCGATGACGTCGACAGCAGGGTGGTGGCGAAAGGTGCTCCTCAGTCCTCTAGTTTGTATGAAGTGAGTTGTGACAACAGCTTTATAGCTTCGCGAAAGAAATAGTTGAACGAATGCTGCTTCTGAAGTAAGTGATATTCACTCATAAGTTTCATGCGGCGCCGATGTATTTGTTACATTTCACGTTAACCGTTTTGCAATTTTTAATCAAAGGTATGCTGTTGTCTGATAAGTGATGCAGCGCATGTATTCACGATGTAATGTATTCACGACGATGATTAGCAGAAACGGTATCATGTTGTGCGCTAATTAACATTTCGTCGTGCTCTCAATGTCTGGTCAGTGGTCAGTCTACCCCGTTGCTTACCATAGCCGTGCGGCCACAACGACGCTCATCGGTGGCGGTGGACGAGCAGCTGCGACTGGCTGTGCGCTGTACTTCTGTAGGTCCCGGTGTGAGGCGAGAGGGGATGGCGTGGAGCTGCAGAGACGATGGTCGCACCGTCGTTTCCTAGTCTGAACTGGAGGGGATAACGTTGAGTGAACGACATTGTGCGAGAGGCAAAATTAGATATTTTATGTAGCAAAAGGCTAGTCGCCAATATTTCTTTGTGCTAGTGCAATTGCTCCATGCGTCATGTCATGCGTCACATGTTTATTTTAATAGTGGTGCCGTATTCAAGATATATCTAGAAAGACAATCCTCCAATCGACTGGCTCCACCTCACATTGGCGGTCAGATAGAAAGCATTGGCGAAACGCGGTACCGAATAAACAGAAAATGTAACAAACTAGTTATGTGAAAAGACTGAGGCTTGCCACGAAAACGTTAATATAATTACAAATGTTACTCTTTGTTTATTCTCAGCTTCGAATCAAAGGTACTGTTGTATCACAGACGCAAAGTATTTTATTCAACGAAATGCTTTCTGCATGTATTTATGCATTCACATGTCTGGTAGATGTCTGATGAACATGCAAACTCAATGCCATCTATCCAGAGGCGGTACTGCATATGCATTTCCACCTCAATTTTATTTTCCAATGGGACTCGGGCAAAACTAAGCATAAACATCATCGTTCAAAACCTATCAGTTTGCTGTAGGCATAAACCGCGTTATACAGGCCGCATAAAGTTTGCGGTTTTTTGACGACGAAGAACCGGATATTCTGGCTTTCTGACATTGTGTCCAAGACAGTACCAACTTCAATTAATCATTTTCAGCCACAACTTTTCATGTCTTATTTCTTTGTCTGTTTCAGTGGTTGATTATATCTGAAGCTCTACCGCTTTCCTGCTAATGGCTTTCGGTGTAAGTGACATGTAATTTTTAACATTTTATTTCTTATCTTATTTTCCAACGAAACATAGTTTATTTTCTCGTGGGTAATTCGGTGTCAATTTGAACTCATTTTTGTAATATCGATAATTTTTGAAGTATTAACACTTATGACCGAAATTATTTTCATAGTTGTATTTTCAATTGCATGAAACGCACTCATCAGCCAGGTACTCATAAAACGAAAGGCAGCAAAACCTTTTTCCAACAACATTCTCCTGGATCACTTGCATAATGCACAATCCTAACACGTCTGTATCTACTACCAAATTATCTCTGGATGTCAGTCGGCCCCTGTCTCCACTGTGTCGCGTGCGGCAGTCTCGGGGTGGCCACAGCCTCTCCCGCCCTCCCTGCTCGTTACCTCCGCCTGTCTGACGGCCGGCCCGGGTCGGGTGTCGGCCCGTCTGTCGCCGCCCGCCGCTCCGCTGCACACAGTCGTGAGTGTCCGATGGCACTGCGGCGGGCCACGGAGGGCCGCTGCCACCGCCGCTCAGCATCGATTGCAGTTGTTCCGTCCCTTGGCGAGCACCATCATAGCCCGTTCGCCCACGGCGGCACTCAGCTCACTTCGTGCACATTGGATACGGTCCTTTGAATTGTGTGTTTTGAGTCAGTATTGAGGCTAGGTGAACCGCTTGTTGCGTGTTTGATTGCCGATTGCAGGACTATATGGTGATTGGAAATTAAACGGCGAATGTACTGCTAGGTTGTGCACGTTTTAAGAATACAAGGAAAGTTGGCAGGCGCATGTTATTCTTGCGATAATCGGAAAAGTGTCGATTACGAGAGTATGTATTTTTAGTAATGCCGTGATCTCAGTTTCTCGGTCATGTTGAGCTGGAGATGCATGGTGACAACTGACAGATGAACAATATGAGCATCCGGTGTCGGACCGGTTCTGTCACTGCTGCCATTCGGTCGGCCGTCTCTTCTGTCGCCGTTACCAACATCCGTCTTTTTATGATGAAATTCTTAGCGGTTTCCAGTGATCAGATTTCTGATGTAGGTACCTACATATCCTGTCTGAGATAATCTTGGTAAGTTGGTATGAATATCCTTAAACCGCGCCGTGCCGGGGTGTTTTGCGGTTTTTCGCAGATATCTCAAAAACATCGCAGTTTTTTGGCACACCTGTTCGTGCATCTTTTCCGCACATGTTGTGAAAATTTCAGACCCAGATCACCTTAGGTCAGGTCACCAGGTCACGCCAAGTGACCTCACCTCAGAAAAAATAAGAATGCTCGTCATAGCTTCACCGACTGAACGATTGCCTTGAAACTTTCAGCGATTGATTAGAGTAACACTATCTTTAAAATGTATATCTCGGAATTTTGATATCCGTGACCTAAGGTGAGGTCAATTTTGCGGCCTCTCCATTATAAGTCAATGGGAGAAAATTGAAAAGCGTCTGTTTTGCACGAACGCTATTCTAGACACTCTCAAACATCGAGATGTAGGTAAAATTGACACACTGAACCAGAAAATGGCAACTGTGACCCCTCGTTACGTCCCCGAGGTCATCTCAGGTCACGAACAGAATCTAACAGTTTTTCGCTGATAACTTCTGATAGAAGCGTGCTAGAGCGCTGAAAACGCCTTAGATGTGTTCGGCTCGACGTTGCGGATCGACTGATGGGATGCAACATGACTTTTTCCGGTCAGATCATGACCTTGACCTGAGGTCAAATTTTCAAGTTGACCTTTCAAGGTCAAATCATAGTTCATTCGACGCGTCTTGACGAGAGGAACACGATGCTAGCAAAAGTAATGTCATCGCTCATTTGAGTCAAAAGTTATTGCCAAAAAAGGCTTTTCGTTAAAACGGCTATTTTTGGAGTTTTTGCCCTCTGGAGGCTAAACCGTTGACCTGAGGTCAAATCTGAGAACATTGCTCAGAAAGGTCTGTAAAAGGGCTATCGAATGCGCTTTTCCGCGGCGCTGTAGCTCTATCGGTTCCCGAGATAGCCGTTGGCACTTGGCAGTTTCCAAAATGTTGAAATAGTCAACATTTTACCTTTGGTGACCTCTGGTGACCTGACCTTTGACCTGACCCAAAAATTCACCGAAGTGTTTTCGTCCTTATTTTGGACGCTCTTTCGATTGCCGCTTACCGCGTGTCGCTACGTGGCCCAGGAGCCGAGTTAGAAGGGGGTGTTCAGACACCCCCCCCCCGGCCCGGCGCGAATCTCAGAGCACCGGCCCGGCGCAGGTTAATGCTCTACCTTATATCGAGGAATTCTTTGTTTCTATGATGAACTTGTTCCGAGCTGCTCATGCAAAGCTATCTTGAGAGTAGACAGTGTCTTAAGATGGTTTAATCCAATAACGTAATTACGTGGCGTTGAGTTTGGTAAAATATTAATGTTATAATAAACCCTCAGCATGCAAATATCGCTTCAAACGTTATGAATGGTGCGCCACATCTGAGTTCTAAGACCATCATCTACCTTGCCTTTTCATCAAACGAAGTGCTTTCCATCGAGCTATCACATTACGTTCTTTATTCATTAGCCAGCATTGCGCATTAGCCGTCGTTGGCAGTGCACCGAAACCAATGAATAGGCCGTGCCTTGATAACAACGGGAGCATTGTGTCCTCGTTTACACGTATTTTTGTGGGTCACTTCAACATTTTCCAGCAAAAACATGTATTTCGAAAACAATTTATACAGGCATGCATGATAATCTATTAATATGACATAAAATTGCTTTATCCATTTTCAAACGTTTCGACTTTATTCAAAGTCATCTTCAGTGTTAAGATAGACAAGTACACAATTACATGCTGACATAAATATACAAGCAGTCGATGCAGGGTATCAGTCGATGCACATCACACACTTCACAAAAACAAGAAAAGTTTTTATCCTTCCTTAACGAGCAGCATCCAAAGATTAAGTTCACCAAAGAAGTAGAGTCCAACCAAACGCTACCCTTTTTGGATGTCAAGATAAAACGTATTGGCTCTTCTATTGAGACTTCCATTTTCCACAAGCCTACCTTTACCGGACTAGGATTGAGCTTCTTTAGTTTCGTCCCATTTTCCATCAAGTGGGCAGTCATCCAGTCATTTATTTATCGCGCCTACCGTTTATGCTCGAGCTACAAGCTCTTCGATCTAGAGCTAAGATCCCTGAAAGGTTTTTTCTTGGATAACGGTTACCCAAGGTCGTTGGTAGATGCCGCCATTGCCAAGTTTCTTAACAGAAGGTTCATTACTATCACAAATCAACCACAGGTTGGAAAACTCGAAAGCTTTTTCACTTTGCCGTTTTTCGGAAAACGCTCAATTAAGCTCAAAAATCAAATAAGCGCTCTCCTACAAAAGTACTACCCATATCTAAGCCCGCGATTCATTCTCAGAAACAACTTTACTATTGGATCTCTGTTCAAGTTCAAGGACTCTATCCCTAAAATGTGTCGATCTGCTGTAGTTTATAAGTTCAGTTGTCCTTCGTGTGAAGGATCTTACATAGGTTCTACCTATGTTAGGCTCCACAGCAGAGTTTGTCAACACAAGGGTAGGTCACACAGAACGGGCGAACTCTTATCCAGTCCAGTAGCATCGTCTGTACGGGATCATTCTTTGGCATGTGACACCCCCTTCAGTATAGACGATTTCAAAATCATTGATCAAAAACGCTCAAACTTCAATTTACGAATTTTAGAATCTTTACACATATTTGAAGCGAAACCGACCATCAATGACCGATCATCTGCGTTTAAACTAAGTATCGTTCTGTAGGAAGACGACCGAACCAACACGAATGATGTTTTATGTCTTGTTTTTGTGAAGTGTGTGATGTGCATCGACTGATACCCTGCATCGACTGCTTGTATATTTATGTCAGCATGTAATTGTGTACTTGTCTATCTTAACACTGAAGATGACTTTGAATAAAGTCGAAACGTTTGAAAATGGATAAAGCAATTTTATGTCATATTATCAGATTTCTATTGATCCTGATAATCTATTAAATCGGTACGGACTCATGGGCACCGATGATACACTAAAAAGCAACAATAATATAAAAATGTCATGAGTTCAGCTCACTATAACAACTCGCATGTCAGCTCTTAAAGAGCATATGAACTCTAAGGAGCAAGAAGAGAGTCGTTCTACCGATCGCCACCAGCTGTGATTAAATCGGTCTGATCTCCACCCGGCCGAGGCTCATCTTGGCCACAGCACGCTCCCCGTGCTGTCTGGTGCGCGTATGTCGTTCTCTGCGCTCTGTTGGACCTTCGGCGCGGTCGGTGGGACGCTCACGAAGCTGTTCCGCTGCTGCTCGCCCCAGAGGAGGGTCCCTCTGTCGGCTGGTGAGCTCTGTTCGGCCCTCCTTCGGCAGGCCGCTGACCATCCTCGCCCCTGCTCCACCGTCTGAGTCCGGCCCGTCCTGCCCCCGCGGCTGTCGGCCCTGCCCGCGCTGTCGCTTCACGCGCCTCACCAGGCCGGCCAGGCTGCTGAAGCCGAGCGGACCCCCTCCTGCCGACAGCTCCGGCGGCAGGCTGGCCGACAGCGGTGACGGCGCCGCGGGCATCCCCGACAGTCCGCCGAACGAGCCGAAACCGGCGCTGAACGGGCCGGCCGCCGCCGACAGCGGGTCGCCGAAGAACGGCGGCTGACCGGTCGGCTGCGGCCCCGGCTGCGGGCCCGGCGGCACCGGGATGGGCTCGGTGGTGTTGGCCAGTGGACCCGGCGGCGTGGGCACCAGTGTCGGCCGCTGAGTGGAGAGGGACGCGATCCCAGGCAGGGGACGGAGAGGAGCTCCTGTGCCATTCGTTGGAGGACGCTCTGGGGAATAGAAAAGACGTTATTTCACTTATTAAGAGTAATTAGGAGGTTGACTTCCATTCAAAAAGTTGCTTGATCTTCTGCTTATCTCTGACAGGCAGCACTGCGCTCGCTGATTCATGCAGTGCCTTTTGTCAAGATACCTAATGTCCAGTAGTTTGTAAATAGCACGTCAATAGATTGTTACTCACCACCAAGGAACGTGGGTATTATCTCGAAGAATGACGCGTTCTCTGTGTCCCTGCTGTAGTTGGGACAGTCGTCTCCGAGGAAATCCAGAACGCAGTTGATGTAGCCGACCAGCTCTGCCTTGTCCTTTGGCTGCGGTGTGGCTATTATGCAGCGGGCTGACGCCTCCTTCAGCTTGTTCTTGGCCTGCATGGAAAGGTGTGTTTACAATTCCAGATCGATATGGTGCGCTGACAAGAGCAACTCACATCACCCATCTGCCACCTGGATGGCACGAGTCGGTGAGATTGGCGCCGTCCAGTACGGTATTCCCTTAGGGCTCCGTACCTCGTCCTCCCCAGTATGGCTCTCTTTTAGGTTCCCTCCTCTGTCAGTATGGTTCCCCTTTATGCCCCTTTCCCTCCACTCTCACCAGTATGGTGCCCTGCATGCCCCCTTCTCTCCACTCTCACCAGTATGGTTCCCCTTTATGTCCCTTTCCCTCCACTCTCACCAGTATGGTTCCCTGCATGCCGTCCACCACCTTGGTGACGGCCGGAGCGCTGAGCGGCGCGGCGAACGAGGCGAACACGCCCAGCTCGCTGAGCACGCACTGCACCATCTGCTGCACGGCCAGCCGCTCGGCCTGGGCCGAGAACGCCGGCGGCAGCTTCAGCAGGGCCACCACCGGGTCGAACAGGAACGGCTCGCGGCGACACGTGTCCGCCACGACCGGCGTCAGCGGCACGGTCGCTGCCGGGAGAACACGTGAGGGGGTTAGGGTAGTCAGGGGTGGATTATTTGTACAGTAAGCAAGCGCTTTTTAGGCTTTTTGTACAGTGTAAAAACTGTCGACATCAATACTGTTGATAATTGATCAGCTTCTTGGAAGGTAGGTGTTTTGGAAATTATGGTTACTTCACTAATTGCTGTTTTGCTAGCACCTGGAAACGCCCACGTGAGAATGCAAATATGTGTGCTTCATACACACTACACCACGTGACCAACCTGTTCTGGTTTCGCTGGCAAATGCCTGCGACACTTTTTGGAACGTTTCGCCGACACACGATATGGTCTTGAAGAGCACCTGGGGGGCATATGTGCGATGTTAGCCACCCATTGTCTGCCAGTTATTGGACAATGTCGCAGGACGTCACCGGCACTGACAGCGGCTGTGTGACTTATGGCGTTCCAGCCAACCCGTGTGAGCGCGTCCCAATGTTTCCTCGACGATTGATCGGTCAAAAATCAACACTCGTTCACGGTGTGTGCTGAGGTCAGCCTGTTTGAACAGACGGTAACACCAGCCCGCTCAATGGTGCTGTTGACACATGGTTTCATACAACGGTTTTGAACTGCCCCCGCGGGAGCTAGAGGCATGCTTGGAAGTGTCATTGCTTCAACATTATCATCTTTTCATGTATAGATATGTACCTAATGGAATCGTCGATGCTGCACCAAGCATTAACACTGTCCGTCAGAGGTCAGAGGTCGCCCTAGTACTGACCTGGCCATCCGGTCGAAGGCTTTCCTGATAAATATACCTACTGATCTGGCCGTCGGCGGTCGCCCTGATACATTGACCTGGCCGTCCGGTCGGAGGTCACGCTGGCACACTGACCTGGCCGTCCGCTCGGAGTTCACGCTGGTACATTGACCTGGCCGTCCGGTCGGAGGTCGGAGGTCAGAGGTCGCCCTGTTATTGACCTGGCCGTCGGCGGTCGCCCTGGTACACTGACCTGGCCGTCCGGTCGAAGGTCGGAGAGCAAACAGCGTGCCTGCTTCAGTCTCAGCATCTCCGCCTTCATCGGGTTGTACTTGTCCGTGTACTCCTTCTGACAGGCGTGGTCCAGCTTTCCCAGAATGCACTTGACGTAAACGGTTTCCTGGAGTGCAGAGCATTTCCTTATATGTGGAAAAGCACCATCAAACGCTATATCGATGGCCCGTGCTTATCTTACATTTAGTAGGTCTCACATTAAGAAATGAAAGGAAGCAGAAAGCCTGAGCTACTGAGCATGGTGAAAAAAGGACATGAACTATTTTCTATTGATTGTATTTGAGCACAGTAAAAGCGTTTATGTTCCTAATTTCGACAAACACAGTAATGCAATATGTCACTTAAGTTCAAAAGTGGTATCCGACGATGATTCTGTTTGGAAGCACTTGCTTATCACGAGACTGACCTGGCTGTCCTGGTGTGGATGGGTCAGATAATACGCCAGGCTGTGGCTGGACTTGGTCGACTGTTTGAAACAGGCGTCCGATATTGATGTGAGACGCTTTTTACTCTGGAAAAGAAGCATCAATATTAACACTCGTATAAGTGATCTGAATGTTCATTGTACCGAGTGGTATTAACGATGGGTGATTGTTGCTAATTGATATAAAGTGCATTCAAAATGGATAAGGACTGTTTGTCATAACGCTTCTTCTGCCACAATGGTCTTTTTGCAGTCATCTGACCTTCCTTTTTTAGTAGTTAGTTTAATTATTAATATGACATAGCAGGTTAACATAATTATGCATTGTATTGTATGTGCACACCGCACCTGTTCATCAGTGACGATGCCATCAATGAGCTTGTGGAGGGCGTCGCTGTCCAGCTCTCTGTCCCGTCCTACGAGCCCGAGCTCCGAGAGCACGCAGCGAACCCTGGCGTCCACCTGCGGGGGGGGGTGAGGGGGGGTCCCTGGTCAGTGAGCAAACACCTTCAGGAACCTACCTACATGGTCAAAGACAATGGGTACCGTACCATGGCTCAAAATTGCTAAGAAGGATTCAACAGAAAATAGTTTACGACTGTACAAAAGGCCTTCGATCTTTTCTCAAGCCATAACGCCTTGACTTTTTCACATGGAACGTTGTATGAATGCAGGTGGAATCCAATTGCATGGTAAATAACACTGACTAGAATAAGATTTAAAGTGGTATATGCCGCACGACATATACCTATCGGTCATTTAGACCAGCGAGTCACATGCATGGGCGGGTAGTTAGTCGCCGCAATGACCATGTAATCAGTCGTTGCCGGCGGTCGGGCCGGTATGCGCGGCTCGTTTACCTGATTTCCCCAGGCGGTGCGTTGTCCTGGGGCGGCGCCGCCCGTGCCCGGGGGCAGCGCGGCCCCCGGCCTGCCGGGGACCGGTCCGGGGTACAGCCCCGCCGGGTACAGCGCTCCCGCCTGCCCTGGGGACCAGGAAACAGCATAGAATTGGTGCTGTGGGTATGACAGGCCTCGGCGGCCTTTGACGGTTATTGACGGGCGTTCTGGGATCAGTGGGTGTCCCGGTGACAGAAAAATGATCGATGGAATGTGACATTGCGTGAACTGTTTACTAGTTTTTGGATACACACGCGTGATGGGTTTGACATTCGTGTCATTTTAACAGTAAAATGGAACAGACTGCGCTGGGAAAAGGATAAGACGACAGTGGGTATGACGTGAGCGGCCAATTGGCAGATCATCGCGACCTCGTCTGCTGCCTTACTTTTTCGCCGACCACTGGGCTCCTCGGGCTGAGCGCTGAACGATGCAGGCCTCGTGTCCGGAGTCGGTGCCACTGTTGTAACCGCAGCGGCCGCGGCCTCGTTTTTAGCCCTGCGAGCGGCTTGAAATGCTTGCAGCCATATTGGGTTGATACCTGTCCGGGGGAGCCAGTCGGATAGTCACTCAAAAATCATGTTGCTGTCTTACCAAGCGTTTCACGTGTATGTAACTATTATCGCTCTGGGCATCCCTTAGGTGTGGAGTCATATCGCTGTAATATTTCAAGCCACCGGCTGGTCGCTGCGTCATCCGTCGGTGAATGCAACTTTTCCACAATGGCCTGTGCTTTTATTCAGCCGGGTCTCATGCCAATACTACACACTACACAGGTTACACAGCCCGTCGTCCCCTGTTTCACTCTCCCCCTTGCCATGTCAGACGTTCAACTCACCAGGTCCGAAGAAGCCCGGGTACGGCATGATGGGCGGGAACATGGGGTTCCAGCCGGGTGGGAACGGCCGCGTCGGGGACGCGTTCATACACTTTCTGATCGCCTCAGATAACTGAAAACGTGGGAAGGTGATTATGTAAAATATCGCTCATTGTTCGCCTAATTGCTCTTTTTTGACAATTATGTTTTTCTGCTCTGATAAGTTTTCTTAGTTTTATTGAAGCTGTCTATGTTGACTGGATTATTTCTATTGAAAATAAAAATTATTTTCAAAAATACTGGGAAATACAGGAAATTAATTCAGTTGTGTGCTCTGTGTGATGTCGCTCTTTGTTGGCTACTAAGTGACACTCCTGCCTTGCATTTTGTTGGATATTTTGGGCGGGTGCTTCAGCTTTAAAAGGCTATCAAGGTGAAATATCCTTCTTGCATACTGCATAGCGAAGTGGTTACCTGAACTAACGATACCCGTCAAATATCTCTAATTGCGTCTTCTGCATTCAGTCTGAAAACGTCCCTTGGTGATGTTGTCGTGTCGGTGGTCCATGGTGACCTCAGATTGCATTATCACAGTCCCGCATGCTGGACTAAATGGGTTTGAAGTGCTTTCGCATGCGTAACTGGTCGATAAGTGCGCTATACATACATATATGAATGAGTATAGGTGTATGTGCTCGCAACCACACTCTGTTCATTGCGGGGCTGCCCATTCAACCTTTGCCTATTTTATTTCCCTCCATTGTCCTGATGCATCCGTTTCTTTGCAATGAGATGCGAAATGCATAGTTCCTACAAATTAACACTAATGGTCGTAACGAGTTAACTTGATGCGTGGTACGATAACGCGCATGTAACTATATTGGTGCACAAATGTTCGTGTATAGTAACGCGCGCGCGTTGGCTTGCATGTGCCATTATGTCCAGGCGAGCAATGTCCTAACCGACTGCGTCAAAGAACGATTCGATGGGAAAGCACATACATACGCGGGGTGGGTCGTGGAGTGTACTCCACCCCTTGTGATAAAGCGAAGAGCTATTACTGATTGTCGGCTGCGCTGGTGTGCAATTTATGCACTCACTCCATCGTTTAGCTGTTTGTCGACCGGTGATGGATAGGAAAGTGTAGACGCTATGTTGGTTTGAGATTGCTCTAAGTCACTTCTGGACCATTGACCTGTCATTGGCTAAGTACCTACATAGACCCGTAATCTTATCATATGTAATACTGCCCGTCATTAGGTCAGAGGTCTGCACAATGCACCTTCCATTCGCAAATATGGTGTACGTTTTAACACACTTCAATACCTATAGCATTACATTTCCCTACCGTAGCATGGCATTACTGCTTAAAACTTCAGTGTCAAGTACCGCTTAAGGTCGCTGCATGCACTCTCGCAAATAGCTTACCTACCTTGCGAACGCGTCCATTGTTGACCACGTTCAGAATCGAGCACTGGAAACATTCCTGAACGCCTACTAGCTTCCCTGAAAGAAAAATGATAACCAGAGTGAGTGGATGGCAAGTTAAGATGGGCAGTAAACGTATTACATTAATTGACCACATTTTGCTACCTGTTAAAATCATTTTCAAATATGCCGCCAACTTTCGCAAGTAGACAGCGCAATGGCTTTCCATGCTGATGACCAGCTTTTCTTCTTGTCAACTAATGTGCTCCTAACATTGAATACATGCTACATATTTAACCCGCGCCCCGCTGGGCTATTCACCCATACGCGCCCTGCTGGGGGAGGGGGGGGATTCTGCCCCCCTGTCTAACTTCCGAACTGATGGTCGTAGAAAGACGGGAAAAACGGCAATCGAAAGCTCTCAACAAGGCGGATCTTAAGTGCCCATTTTTTTGCTTAAGTAGGTCAGAGGTCAGGTCAAGGTCAGGTCAAGGGTACAAAATGCAAGTTTATACAGTATCGGCCTTGCACCGTAGTTGCCGAAGAATGGCCTGAGACTGATTGCCCAAAACGTGTTCTTAGGCTACCAAGACAATATCCGTTGCGTACAATATCATGCAAAGGTCAAGGTCAGGTCAGGTCACCAAAAACGAAATATAGAAAAGGGCATGTGCGACACATGTTTCATGGGTCATTTTATTCATATGAATTCAATAGGCACACTCAATAAGTAATATGGACCACATCTGGATGAATTTCAGGTCGAGGTCAGGTCAACGTCAGGTTAAGTGAGGTCAAATTTTGAAGTTGGTTGTTAATGCCTAAAAAGGTGGCTATCTGATGCAGTTGTTCACGGCGAAGCGAATGGTGCTATTTTTGTTTCCGTACGACGTCTAGAACTTCAAAAAAATCATTTTTCAAAAAAAAAATGTGTCGTGACGTCATACAATTTTGAATATCTCCCACATTTTTGAATCGATTCTTCTAAAAATTGGTATGTAGGTGCACATAGACCACTTCTCTGACATATGTTCCGGTTTTCCGATACACTCAAAATTTTGGATTTTGTAATTATTTTCACAAAAAAGTCAGTTTTTTTTAGAAAAAAATCGGCCAAAATCCAAAATTTCAAAAGACGAAAGATCCATTTGATAGACAAAGTAGAATCACGGATAATCTTTTTTCGTTACGTCTTGATTCCTTTAAAAATGAAGATGTAAGCGGCGTTTAAGATGTTGCTTTTTAGGCGAAAATGGCGAATATGACGTCACTAAAACGGCTGGCGTAACGTGTTTAGAAGTTATTGGCGAAAAACGGGAGGGAAGGGGTAGATTCCGCCCCCCCCCCCCCTCCCCAGCGGGGCGCGGGTTAAGCTAATGTATTTCGGTAGTTTTGGCCTTGGAGTAAACATAATGGACTTGTATGTGAGTCAAAACTATGTCACATGTGTTTGTAAGCATAAGGCTGTCAGACCTAAACGCTTGAGGGTGTAAACTGTAAGTCTCAAGTAAGCTTACCGTGTGAC